TTTAATGCATGCATCCTGAGGAAAGTGACTTATAAAAAGATGAGTTTTGAGAGCAAGGTATCAGCAGATCACAGAAAGACTTCCTATAATAACTTAAATTAGAGAGTTTATTTTTTTTAAACAATGACTCACTTCAAGGCAAATTTTAAAATACACTCAAGATTTTTAATAAAGTAGGGTTTTGATGATGTTCAACTTGTAATGAAAAGCTACCCTAGCAAACTGTTCACTTTCATTGTACAAACTTGCAGTAGTTTAAGAAAATGCCTACCACCATAACTCTTGGAGATGCTAGCTTTGCCAGTGAGATACACATCTCCACAATATGTACAAAAAATTTCACTGATATAAATTATGTCCAGATCTAACTTTGCATTGTTTTGGTACACGCTGCTTAAGAGAGAAAAGAGCCCTGGTCTGGATGAGCTGCATCCACATATTTTAAACAAACCTAGGAGAAGAAACAGCAGAAGCATTACAATTCTTATTTGATAATTAGTTAGAAAAGCAGCAGTGCCAAAGGATTGGTGGATAACTAATTGACTCAGACATTATGACACAGAAGAAAATCATTTGGTTCATCGTGTCTGCACTGGCCAACAAAAATTTGATTACACTAATCCTGTTTTCCAGCTCTTGGCCTGTAGAACTGGAGGCTATGATAACACAAGTGAATATTTAAATATTGGTTAAATGTTTTTATTGCAGTTTCTGGCTGAACTACTGCTTCAGGTATTGAGTTCTAGACTCCTCCCACAGTGAAAAACTTCCTTTTCAACTCTCCTTTTAGCTTTCTACTCCTTATCTATGCTCCCTGACATTAACCCCTCTGCTAATGTAAAAAGTACCTTCAAATCCACCCTATGCCCTTCACAATTGTATACACAGCTAGTAAGTCCCCTCTGAACCTTTGCTGAAAAACGCAAGCTTACTCAATCTTTCCTCATAGCTCAGACCTTCCAGCTCAGACAGCATGCTCGTAAAACTTCTTTGCTTCCGTCCTAATGCAATCATATCATTTCTATAATGTGGTGACCAGAATTGCACAAAATACTCCAGTTGTGGCCTATCTAGCATTTTATACAATTCCAGCTTAATCTCCTTGCTTTTGTATGCTTTTATTGATTGCTTAGAATAAACGACCTATTTCTTAGTGCTATGTAAGCCCGTGTAACTCAGAAGTGATGTGCTAGTCAGAAAACATAGAAACAAAAGAGTGAAAACATGTTTCAGTACATATTGTCGAAGATAAAAATGGAGGAACTTGCATTTATGCAGCACTTTTCATGGCCTTAACCTCACCACTTCATAGTTAATGGAAACATTTGAACTCTTGAAAAGTAAGAAAGGAAAACTGCTCAGTGAACAATATGATAACGCCCAGATAATCTGTGTTTTATTTAACTGATGTGGAGGAGTGATAAATGTTCACCATGACATTGGTGAGATATCTTCTGTACTTCTTTAGGGGCATGGGACCTCTTGTATCCATCTGAGACAGCAGGTGGGTCCTCAGTGTATTGTCTTATGCAAAAGGTCAATACCCGATGCTGAGGTAGCAGTCTTTCAGTACTGTACGTTAGCTGGAAATTTTGCGTTCAAGTCCCTTTATTGCAAATTGAACCCACAACCTCCTGACTCCAAGACAACGGCAATACCACCGAAATATGGCTGATAAAGGACACTTGCACTATACATGAGACATTAATCCCATCTACTATCTTGGTTTATTACTCAGCTCGGATTTGGAAAGTTCTGTCAAATGGTTTTGGCAAGCTGTAGTAATGAATCATTTACTTTGTGTACAATGCAGTCATAGTGCATTGGTGCTGGAGGCTGTGAATATTTAAGGCAGTGAATAGGGTGCCAATCAACTGGGCTGTTTGGACTTGGACAGTGTCTTGAATGGCGCAGGAGCTGCATTCGTGAAGGCCATGGTAAGTTTTCCATCACACTGACTTATGCCATGTAGATGGCAGGCAGGCTTTTGGAAGACAGCAGCTGAGTTACTCATTGAGGATTCCTAACTCTAACCTTCTCTTCTAGCCAAAGCATGTATATGGCTCATCTAGTTCAGTTTCTGGGCAATGGTAACCTCCAGGATGTTGATGGTGGGTGATGCCATTGAACATCCAGGGAGGATACATACTTGGTGGAAACAGGCATTGCCTAGCACGTGTGGTACAAAAGTTAATTGCCATTTGTCACCCCAAATCTGGATATTGTTCAGCCCTTGCTGCACATGAAAACAGACCGATTCAGTATCCAAGAAGTCGCAAATGGTGCTGAGTATCGTACAATCATCAGTGAAAAAGCTCACTTCTAACCTCACAATGAATGGATGGTCATTGATGAATCAGATGAACTTGGTTACGTGTAAGACAATGACATGGAGGAACTCCAACAGTGGCATCCTGGAGCTGAGATGATTGGGCTCCAACAACTGCAAACATTTGCCTCTCCATTTGTACAATTTTAGCCAGTTGGAAGAAATTGCCAGAGTCATATAGTTAATTACTCCGTGTGATTACCAGAATTTGAGTTTGTATTAACATCTTCAGCCAAAGCAACAAGACTTGCATACAATATTCCTGATGTCACCAGTTACTGGTCTCATCAATGCTCCATATAATTAAATCCTTGCTCCTCTTGTAATAATGGCTAATACATCATTTGCTTTCCAAATTGCTTGCTGTACCTACGTATTGGCTTTCAGTGACATATGAACAAGGACACACAACAGACTTGTGAGGGAAGTTATAGATTATGGTTTAAAAAGAACAGCAGATACAGAATTAGCTGAGTGATAGGAAACAGAGCAACGATCAATGGATAGCTTTCAGGCCGAAGGAAGGTTTGTAGTAGAGTTCCCCAGGGGTTGGAATTGGAACCCTTGTTTTTCCTAACACACATTAATAATCTGGATCTTGGTTTAGAGGGACAATCTCCAAACTTGGAAGAACTGTAAACCGGAGGAGGATAGTGTGGAACTCTAGGAGGAAACAGAGAATTTGGTGGAGTGGGTGGGTAGGTGGCAGATGGCAGATGAGGGTCAATACAGAGAAGTGTAAGGTGATGTACTTTGTTCAGAAGAACATTGAAAGACAAAACAAATAGGAGATTTGATAGAGGTTTTCAAAATCATGAGCGGGCTAGACAGTAGATAGGGAGAAGTTGTTCCTTTTCGTAAAAGATGAAAATGAACAAGAGGGCATGGATTTGAAGTGATGTGCAAACAAAGCAAGGGTAATGTGACAATAAAACCTTTTCACAGCAAGCTGTGGGTATGCCTGGAAATGTAATGGAGGCAGGTTCAATTCGGGCATTCAAGAGGACATTGGATGATTATTTGGGTAGGAGTGCTGTGCAGATATATGAGGAATAGACAGGAGGTTGGCATGAGGAAACAGGACTGAACTGGTGCAGGCACAAATGGATCAAGTGGCCTCCTTCAGCACCATAACAAATTCTGTGATTGTGACACTTGATCCCTTTGATCTTCACCACATTCCAATTTCTCACCATCTAAGAAATATTCTGCACCACTGTTGCTCCTACTGAAGTGATTAACCTCATTTATCCACATCATGTCCCACTTGCCATGCTCTTAGCTACTCACTCAGCCTGTCTAAATCCCTTTGAAGCCTCTTTGCATCCTCCTCACAATACACATCCATGTCTTATGTAATCTACAAACTTACAGTTGTTCTCCACATTTGCTGCTAAAGATTTCCAAAGATTCACTACTTTCTGTGGGCAGACATGTGTCCTCATCTTTTGTCTTAAATGGACGATTATGCACTCCCATCCTAGACTCTCACACAAGGGGAAAACAATCTCTCCAAATCTTTTCTGTTAAGCCCCCTAAGAATTTTATACATTTCAAAAAGGTCTCCTCTCATATTTCTAAACTCCAATGAGTACAAGTCCAAACTATGCGAACTCTTCTCATTATGTAGTGCTTCCACACCGTGTGTCAGCCTATTGAACCTTCCCTGGACTACTTCCAATGCCAGTATATTTTTCCTTAGATAAGGGATCCAAAAGTGTTCACGGTATTCCAGCTGCAGCTTGACAAGTGCCTTGTATAGTTTCACAAGATCTCCATGTTGTTATACTCTAGTTCCTTTGTCAATTTGCCTTTCCCATTACCCACTGAACTTGTATGCTAGATTTTTGCAATTTATACACAAGGTCCCTTAAATCCCCCTGTGCTGCAGCTTTCTGCAGTCTTTTCCCATTTAAATAACATTCAGCTCCTCTATTCATCCTGCCAAAATCCATAACCTCGCATTTTGTCACATTATATTCCATCTGCCAAGCTTTTCACAACCCCACCTTGAGTTCACAAGGAATCAGGCAGCATTGATTTATTTACTTAGCATGGAATAATTGATTTATTGACTAAACTTGCATGTGAACATCACTCGAAGCTCAATTAAGATCAATTAATTAACTGTGTGGAGTAAGATTTCCTAACACCAATAAAAAGCTTTCCTCCTGTTTCCCATCAATTATGGTTAATTGAGGGTTCTTTGACTTCACCTGCTTCAATTCGCATGTCAATATGCACACACAATACTCCTACTGAATTCACAGCTCTAGACTTTTAAGCCAGTACCACATATGTAACACTATCATAGCTTAGTTGTAGCGACATAGTCTGCATAGCTAGAGACCCTTCAAATCATTTTGTATTGGATGGCTACAATTGCATTGGTATCTTGCTGTCAAAAGCAATGAAATTTTGCTATACCTAGTGGGCTAGAAATAAAGCCAGTAAAGCCAGTAGTGGCAGATTGGCACAAAGTCAAAATGCTCAGAGAGCTATTGCAGAAACAACAGGATGAATGGCTTCCTTCTGCACCATAACAATTCTGTGAAAAATCCTTTACTTTCACCAAAGTAACAGACAATGACTGTGGCAGATTTATTGGTGATTGTGATCTATTAATGTGAAGAACATATTGCATGAAATGGAAAAGAAACTGATAGAATACCTTTTATATCTCGGTGTACAATCATATTGCTGTGGAGATAGGAAACCCCTTCTAGAATCTGTCTGGTATACTTTCGCGTTACATTCTCAGTGAGTGCTCCATAAGCCTTCAACTGGTCCTTGACAGAACCCTGAATGGAAACAAAGTTAACCATTAAAAAGGGGAAAAGAAACACATCATTCTTCCAAAAGTTAATAGGTAATAAAATGTCAGGTATGGTAAGCCGTAGATATCCAAATAGATGTCAACCTTGGACTCTTACAGATATTTTTAAATCAACCTGTTCAGATATATTATGACACGTCTCTGCAGCATGTGGGGCCTGAAACCAACCTCCTGGCCTAGATGTAGGGACATCTGCACCACAAGATCCTCCCTGGTTTCTTATAGGTTTCCTGATCTCCAACGGAACACTATAGATGGGTTCAATATACCACATATTGATGGAAAGTGAAAGAAAAAAAGTCAGTCAGGCTTTCCCATTACTAACTGGTAATTGATAATCAACCAGTAGTCTCGAAGTTAACTTAGTACCCAATGTGAATGAGCTGTGGTGCTGCCTACTTTTGAACAACCTGCAGACACTCACAGGAAGAATGGCCTCTTGGACAAAGCAATATCTCTGCTTTACGAAAGGAAAGCAACAGGTGAAGTAAAAACTCAGCAAAAATACTTACAGGTACTTGTGTGACCCCAAACTCAACCCCTCGCCTGAAGCATGTACTGAACAAACTAATTTCTAACACTTGTGATATCAAAAACAATTGTCCTGGTTTCTTGTCCTTTAATGGCATTTAGTTTTGATTGTTATGCTGGAAGATAATAGTTGATTAATAAAACTTGCAAGAGGAATGCAATTTTATTTTGAGGCATAATCAGCTAGATATCTGTTAGAAGCCAAAATATACACCAAGAGTTTTGAAGTTCAGCTGCTGAAAAAGGCACTACGCAGAATTTACATTTTCTTAACATGGTCAGCAGCCTTCCTCCAGCATGGAACCAATTTAACTCTGGAAACTTCTGGCTTAACTCCTATCTCTGCACCCACTAGAAGAAATAAGTGTTGGAAACCTGGCAAAAGCAAACAGCTGACACCAGAAACACAAGTAGCATGGCAGACAACACAACTTTTCACAAAATGTGGGCACAGCTATTGATCACTGTACTTATCCATACAATGTAATATTGTACCCAATATCAAGTATCACCCTTTGTAAATTTAATACAGCAGCTGACAATTCACTGATCTAAATGAACTATAGGTTATTAATGGCACATTAATGCTTTTATTGCCCCAGATCTGACTATCTCAGTGCTTTGCTCACCAGTCTCCCATGTTCCACTTTCCATAAAAACAAGCTCATCCAAATTTTCCCTGTGGTTAACCTAATATCTCAGTCGCCACTCCTCCTGGTAGTCAGTGATCTATGATGGCACATCTGGAATCACACACCAGAAATAAATAAAGCAAAAGTAATTATAATCATTTATTACTAATAAGTTGAGAATTGAAAGGCTATTTGGCCAATGCAATTTTCACCTAATTTGCAAACTAACAAGTTTTTCAACACTGTCAAAGGACAGTAAACAGGACAGGACTCTTTAGATGGCGGCTTGATTTTGTGGCTGTAAACAGAGTTTACCTTATTATCACAATGAAACTGTATCAACTCCTGGCATCTGCGCCAATACCAAAATTCAGGAGCTGTTGTCAGTGATTTCTTGTTCCTCCACAGGGTCCACTGTCAATATCCCGCAGAAGAAAATCTTAGAAATTACTTCACCTGATATGAACTCCCATTTTTTTATACTATTAAGCCGACTGTAAAATCCGTTGACAAAGCTATGCTTTGTTGAATGAGGTCACTTTGACATTGACTGGTCTGGTCTTGCTCTCCTAGGCAAAAGGGGGCTCAATCCAACCGTAAAGCCCTATACTAGAATCCTGGTTGAGATGAGCTCCTCAGCAGAAACCAGTGATCAAAGTCACTTATTAAGTTTAAATACTTTCTCACTGTATTTTTTAAGGTCTTACTTAGCATTTTTACAACTGTCTGCTCTTTCTTAACTTTCCAGTCAGTATCTTATTAAGCTCTGTAGCATCGTCAACATTGACAAAACAATAAAGTTGCTTTGCATGGTGCAAACTCAATTATCATTACTGTACTTGGATAAACAACTGCCACTTCAGTTGAAGCAATGTGGGGGCATGAATAGTAAGAAAGTTTTAGTTGTAAATGTACTTATAAGTAACTAAATTACATGTTTATTAACAGCCCGGACATAGCAGTTCTCCTCCCCTCAAAGCAAGGCAACATAATCTCAGCAGAACCAAATATAAGAAATGAACGATTCGAGGAAACATGTTTGCAGCCACTAATGAAGTCCCAAATATGGGTCCCTTAGCAAAAGGGGTCAGGGAAATAGTGAGGTTCTGCTTGTCAGTCTGCTACCTAACTCCCAAAGTTCTTGTTTTAGGACCTCATCCCCCTCTCTAACTATGTTGTTGGTGTCCTCTCCCTGGGCCCAGGGAGGAAACACACCATCTTGGAGTCATGCCTGTAGCCACAGAAATGCCTGTCTGCATTCTTTGTACGAACACACCTGAGTTTCTCTAAATAGTAATATTTTCAAGTTTCACACCTTTTAAAAAAATTCTGCTTTTCTATTTTCACAAATGAATAACTTCAAACTCACCCACATTATGCATCATCTGTAATCTTGTTGCTCACTTGCTTCACCAGTCTATAATTATTTGCAGCCTCCATGTCCTTCTTACAGCTTAATTTTCCAACTAGCTTTATCTCACCGGCAATAGATGCATATTCTCGGTCTCATCATCTAAGGCATTAATGTAGATTGTGAATAGCTGAGACTCGAGTACTGAGCTTCGTATCCCTCCTCTAAATTTCCCAGCCTGAACAAGTTGAAATACAGTGTTTACGCCCATCTTTTCTTCTTGTTCGTAAAACAATTCTCTATCTATGTTAATATAACATTCCCAATTTCACGGGCCTTTATGTTACCTGCTTCCTGTCTCTGGATTATTTCCCAACTGTGTTGAATTAGGCATAGAAGTAGTTACAGTGGCAAGAAAACAAACTCCAATCTTTGAACAAAGAAGCTAATATAGAGGACCAGAAAAGTCAGCAATGACAGATGTGGGCTTGGTCATGATGTCCCTTAACTGTATAATATTCTACTGATGATTAGTGTTAAGATTCACGCATGGCAGATGGGAGTTTAAATGAGCTATTGAAGGGCTGCCATAACTGTGGAACAATTTCCCAAAAAAGCATCAGCACTTTCTGTAGCGATGGGATGAAAACTGCTTTAAGAAATACAGATATATCACAGCAGATTAATTAAAATAGAAAGCAACAGTTCAATACTCACTCCTGGCATATATTCTACAAAGATAGACAATTTTCTTTCCATTGTATCCCGTAGCGAACCATAATACTGCACTATCCTGTCGTGATGGAGGTTCTTTAGTAACTGTATTTCACATTCCAAAGCATTGACTTCCTGCAACAGCAATGAAGCAGCAACAATTATGCCAAAGAAACAAGCTTTTCCATCCTCAGAATGACGATCTTCTACCCCATTTTACGTTGTATCATTGTGTTTTTTTTCCTCATTTAATGATTGATTCATGTCTTACAATATCACAGACCTTTCCTTTACTCCTTTCCACTTTTCCTTCCTATCTAAACCTGGCACTGTACTTGTTTATAATCTATTACATCCAGAACTTTTGCTAGTTCTGATGAAAGTTCATTGATCTAAAATATTAACTTTGTTTATCTCTCCATATGTTCTGCCAGAGTTGCTAAGTAATTCCAGCCTTCTCTACTGTTTCTTTCAGATGTCTAATAGTATTTTACTTGTAAACATTTTCTTATTGTGGCTTCTAATTACCTTCATATCTTGGATTACGGTAACAAGAAGAAGAATGGGGTATGCAGCATAAAAAAGTGATTCTGTCTTAGCCATTGAAGACTAGCAGTTCAAAGAGGTTCATGTTTCCAAAAATAAAAGGACATTAAAATATCATACACAGTTCTAAAAATAGAAAGGCTAATGGAATGAGGTGCTTTATGTCTTAAGGATTAGCTCACTGCATGAAATTAGATAAAGCATAAAATCATGCTTAAGTAGTGAAAAACCCTGATTTGAGCTGTAGCATTTTTTAGCTTTGGACACACCTTAGGAAGAAAGCATTGGCTTTGGAGGGAACGCAGCCAATTAAATGATGAGGAAATAAAAGCAAAAAATGTCCAGATGTTGGAAATCTGAAACAAACACAGAATGCTGGAGGAACTCAAGAGCTCTTGCACCAACTGTGGAGACAGAAACAGAGTAAACATTGAGTTTGGTATGACTCTTCTTGAAAGGTGAAGAGGGCTCCAGCATGTTTTTCTTTTATACTTTTGACAGAGGCAGAGGAGAGGCAAGGAAAACAGGTGGTGCAGAGACAGTGCAAAAGACAAAAAGGTTGTTAGTTGTGGAGAAAGAGAATTAAAGATGCCAAAATGGATGTAAATTGTCATGGTGAAAGGGAGAGAATGGATCCTCTCTACTACGAGCAAATTAATTAAGAAACAAGACAAGCCTGTGGGTGAAGGAGGAGATAGGAGGATGAGGAATGAAAGGAAAATGGAGGACTGACAGCATGCGATCAAGCTCTGAAGTTGTACAACTTCATATTAAGTCCTAGCAGCTGTAAAGTGCCTAAGCAGAAAAAGAGATGTTGCTTCTTAAGCTTGTATTGTGCTCCAATGGAACACTGCAGCAGGCCCAGGACAGAAATGTTAGCATGACAGCAAGGTGATTATTGAAATGGTTAGAGTCATTCCCACGGACAGAGCAGCGTGTTCCACAAGGTGGTCACCCAGTCTGCATTTGGGCTTGCCAATGTAAAGGAAACCAGATTGTGTGTGGCAAATACTATAGTCTAAACTGAAAGTAGTAAGATACTACCCACCTTCAGGTAGGAGCAAATTACTGCAGATGTAGAAAACAAAAAGTGCTGGAGATCACAGCAGGTCAGGCAGCATCCATGGAGAGAGACAAAGCTAACGTTTCAAGTCTAGATGACTCTTTGCCAGAGCTGATGTGAAGTGTGGAGAGGGAACCATTTGTACAATAGTCGGGGGGAGAGGGGGTGTTGACAGTGCAGATTAAGTGATTGGAACGTGAGAATGGCAGACAATGGGGTGTCTAACTGCCAAGCTGAAAAGAACAGATGGTCCCACTAGAGTGGAGGGACAGGTGAGAGGACATGGTGACAGAGAATGTGACAAGCTAAAAGGAAGGGAAGGAAGCAGAGTGGGTTCACGATCTCAAGGTGTTGAACACAACATTAAGTCCAGACGGTTGTAAAGTGCCAAATCTGAAGATGAGATGTAGTTCCTCCAGTTTGCGCGCGATTCACTGGAGCACTGCAACATGCTGAGGACAGATAAGTGGGTATGCGAGCAGGATGCTGTGTTGAAGGACCAGCCATGGAAGGTCAGAGTCATGCTTGCACATGGACTGAAGGTGTTCTGCAAAGCGGTCACCCAATCTGTGTTTGGTTTCTCCAGTACAGAGTAGGCCACATTGGGTGCAGCAAATGATTTACACCAGATTAGAGGAGATACAGGCAAAATGCTGCTTCACCTGGAAAGACTGTTTAGGCCCTTGGATGGCAAGCAGGGAGATGGTGTTGCACCTTCTGCAGTTAAATAGGAAGGTGCCATGGGAAAGGGGGGGTGTGGTGCTGGTGGTTGAGATATAGACTAGGGTGTCCCAGAGGGGATGGTCCCTGCAAAAGGCTGACAGGGGGAGTGAGGGGAAGAGGTGTTTGGTGCTGGTGTTCTGCTGGAGTTGTCTGAAAGGGCGGAGAATGATGCTTTGAATGCGGAGGCTGGTGGGATGAAAAGTGAGGACAACGGTGACCCGATCCCGCTGTTTTGAGTGATGGGAAGGGGCAAGGGCAGAAGCACGGGTGATAGGTCGGATGTGGTTGAGGGCCCTACCAACCACAGAGGGTGGGAAACCATGGTTATGCAAGAAGGAAGCCATGTAAGCAGCGCCACTTTGGAAGGTGGCATCATCCGAACTGATACGATGTAGGCAAAGGAACGGGAAAAATGGGATTGAATCCTTGCAGAACGTGGGGTGTGAACAGCAGAGTTGGTCGCAAGACTTAGAATAAGATACTTATAATGCAGATTTCTTTAATAAACACAAATTTATCAATTTATTGTAAAATGAAAGTAATTTAATGAAAATGCAGTAATTGGTTAACACACAATTTATGAAAACATAAATGTTTATGCAGGTCATGGGATACATGAAAATATAGCCAGTTGGGTCCAAATTGGCTCTGAGACAGGACATAAAGGGTAATGGTTGACATGTTTTTGCAACTGGAAATCACGTTCCAGTCGTCTTCCATAGGGATCCACATTTGGTTCCTTGTTGTTTGCAGGGTATATTAATGATTTAGATTTAAATGTAGGAAGCAAGGTTGGGAAATTTGCAGCCAACATAAAAATTGGCTGGGTACTTGATAGTAAAGATGAAGGCAGTAAACTGCATGAAAGTAGTATGGTTGAGTGGATGGAAAAGTGGCAAATTGAACTCAATCCGGAAAAGCGCAAGGTTATGCATCTGAGGGCAGACAAAGCAATACAATGGGCGCAAGGAGAATACTGAGGGTGATGGAGAAAGTAAGATTCCTTGAAGCGTATATCCACAGGACCCTGAAGGTGTCAGGTGTCAGGACAGGTAGAGGAGGTAGAAAAGAATATATATGGGATGCTTTCCTTCACTGCATTAGATATGGAGTACAAGAGCAGGGACATAATTCTAGAACTGTATAAGAACTGCTTGGACCTCAGTTGGAGTTTTATGTACAGTTTTGGTCAACAGGTTACAGGAAGGCCAAAATCGCTCTAGGAAAAGTACAGAAGTGATTTACAAGAATGTTTCCAGGGCTTGAAAATTGCAGTTATGAAGAAAGATTGAAAGGGCTTGGGTTGTTTTCCTCAGAACACAGGAGGCTGAGGAGTGACTTAATCAAGATGTACAAAATGAGGGCCTTGGATAGAATGGACAGGGGCCCAGTTCAATGCCCAGTTTGGTGGTTGAGGTGAAAATCCTCAATTTATTTCAAAACAGAGTTCGATCTGCACCTGAATCTCGGTAACCTGCAATGCTGTAGAACAGATGCTAGTAAGGGAGATTGAAATGGGTGACTATTTTATTCAGTTAACACAGACATGGTAGGCTGAATGAATTCTTTTAGTGCATAACTTTTCTACAGTTCTATGTTTCTATGGTAGCCTTCCAAATAACCCCCAAAATATACAAAAACACTTTTCAGGTAAAAAGCAAAAAAAAAAAGGGATGCATGTCAAAAGAAAATCACTTTCTGACCAATGGTAGTTATTCTTGAAAGCAAAGGGATAAAGCATAGAACTCTGCTAGGGTGGCATGGTAGTTCAGTGGTTAGCATTGCCTCACAGTGCCAGGGACCCAGGTACGAGTCCACCCTTGAAGACTGTATTGAGTTTGCACAATCTCCCCACGTCTACTCCAGTTTCCTCCCACAGTTCAAAGATGTGTAGGTTAGGTCGATTGGTCATCCTATATTGCCTGTAGTGTCCAGGGATGTGCTGGCTAAATGGATTAGCCATGGGAAATATAGGGTTACAGAGATAGGGAAGGGGCTGCATCTGGGTAGGACGTGCTTTGGAGGGTTGGTGTGGGCTTGATTGACCAACTGGCCTGCTACCACACTGTAGGGATTCTATTTAGAACTATCTCAATCTTGTGTTTTTGCACGTCATCAAGTCACTAACCATGTACTGGTGTATCTAGGGTTTGGCAAGCACAACTTGCCTAGAAAATACAATGACAAAAATTTTTATCACTCTTCCTGAAGAACAATGATATTTCACCACAAAGGGGCTTCAGAGACATGAGCTGAGCAGCTTGTTCTTGAGCAATCTTTCCTCAACTGAAAATACAAACAAAATCCAAACCTACAAATGCTCTTACAACAAAAAAACAATAAAACCCAGTCATAAAACAAGAATGGGTGTTTCTCCTGAAGTGAGTTCAAGCAATCTAGACCAGCAATTATCTGAAACCATGTGGTTTCCAAGAAATGTTTTTTTTTTAAAAAAGTTCTAATGTGTCCCTTTCCAGTGACCCATCAAAATAAATGCAAACATATCCACAATCCTTCAAACCCAAGTTCATAAAAATTATTAAATACGAAGCATCTGCATAATAAATGTTCACAGAATCTTTTAGCCTTAGGGAGGTCCTGAGGAAGCTCTGTGTCTGTTCCAGTTCTTTAAAAGAGTTACCCAATTTATCCCACTGCCTGGCTTTTGTCCCATGGTTCCACAAACTTTTCCTATTCAAGTACATGTCAAATTTCATCGTTGACAGTTAGTATTGAATGCTTCCACCAACATTTTAGTGATATATTCCAGATTGTAGCAACTTGTTGGTTGAAAATTTCTCCGCATTTTCTCTTTTTTTTGCCAATTGTTTTGAAAGATTCTTCGTGATCTACAATAAAAACTTATCATAATCAAAATGCGAACTTTAAAATATGACAGAAGAGCAAATTACATTAGCAAGAAGTAATCCCGGTTGAAACGAGGATGAAACTATTTCCTGGAACTAATTATAATCATGGAACATTCAATGGAAGGCACAGACGTTTTGCTTAACTGCCAGCACATCTAACAAGAATACATGATTTGTGAGTAATAGGCAGTTTTACTCATACTTTTTGGATCAAATTCACCAACCTTGCTTGTCTCTTGGCTATCTGCATCAAAAGCCACTTGCTTGACTGCCAGTTCCCTGCCTGTGTCTGCGTCATAGCACAGGTAAACTTCTCCAAATGCTCCACGGCCAAGGAACTTCCCCAGTCTCCAGTTGATGGGAGCTCGAGGGGCTACTGCTAGAAGAAAAGATCAGTTAAAATGCACCTCCCGTGCACTCCCTGCCGTATGCCTTTATTTACACTTCAAAAGAAAATAAGAATGATTAATACAGAAAAACTCTATAATTCTTTAATAAGAGTAGGCCTTTTAAAACTCTATTGGGAGTAGTGTATTCAGTTCTTCAGGTCTTAAGATTCAGAATTTCCTCCCTAAAACTTTCCTACTCTCTACCTCACTTTCCTTGGGACCCTATTCTTTGTCAAAGCTTTTGGCCACCTGCCTAGTATTACCTATGTTTGGTGTTGAATTTGGTTTTATTAAATTTCTATGACACATCTGGAAACATTTTATTATGCTTAAATGCACTATCTACATAGAAATTATGTGCTTAACTCTTGTGCACAACCCACATATTGTCAATGCCCAAAGTGGAAATGTTGGGGTGATCATCCTGAGAGAGGGCAGCAGGATTATGCTCCACAATTCAAAATGGTGCCTCAGCAATGTGTTGGAGGACAGATTGCTGACAGCTTCCTGTGCAAACTAGTACCTGCAGCAGATGGTGAGCTTGAGTGGCAGCAAGCTGAGCTAACATGACTTCAGTTTGAGTGACCACTAAAGCACTGGTGGCTTCTAATTATGCTGCCATCCTGCTCCTCTGATGCTGCCTGGCCTGCTGTGTTCCTCCAGCTCCACACACTGTTATCTCTTAATTTGTCACAGCCTTTCTTTTCAGCAACAGCCCCACACCATGACCGCGTGGTGGCACACAGTTACTCACAATCCACTTAATGCTGGTTGCAATCATTTAAAGAAGGAGGCATTTCGGCATATTCCCCAAATCTATGTGGGAATTATATTTTTGTCTAACTGCTAATCTGCAGTTTGCATTTAAGTTTCTGTTGGTGTAACAAAGTTATTTTAAACCATTTGTTATGAATATATATGTATCACATCACCAGAGATATTTTTCACCTTACATGATTTATAACCTCAACTTTAAACTAAGCTAATCTGTGAGAAGAGAACAGTTGCGGGTCAAGTCCAGATTTAGATCCGAACGATTGAATGTTATGCTCAAGTGAAAGATGTAAACTGGATGTCCAACCCAAGCCCACCCCATTATCCACACGGTCTGCATTTAAAATCGGGGCAATAGCAATGTTACAGTGCCATTGTAAGTGCTTGCTTCTATAATTCTGCAACATTTAGCAACCAGAAAAATCTTTCCCTTATGTTAAATCCATCTGACTTTCCAGAAGCGTCTAGGTCCATTTCATCTGTACGAATTTACACCCATGAATGACACCCCTCCGTAATATTCCAGAAATAACAATTCCTTTGATCATTGTGTGCAACTACATTATCAATGTGCACAATTCCTCAGTTAATGCCTTCTATGCTTTCTAGCAGATGCTAAAGGAGCAAAAAAGAGGGAACTTTCACCTTTACAGAAGACCTTATACATAGTGACCAAAAAATTTGAACCATAATTTAAGAACATAATTTACACTTTCATCATCATTCTTTACATCTCATCTCCATGCAGCCCACCCCAGTTACAGCTGCAGATTTACTTACACACTGAAGGCAAATGTCTGTCGTGAACTTTGAGGCAACTTTTGTCTTCACTGCTCCATCGAATTGTTCGACTCTCGTCATACTGCAAGGTACTCCCCATGCTGTCCCCGTTCGCACTGTGAGACCGACTGGAAGGAACCAGTTGGAAAAGATTTTCCTGATGGATGAAGCTCCGGGGAAATGTTCTTCTCCCTAAAAGTGAAAATGATTACGACAGAAAGGAAAAAGTATCACAGAGCGAAACATCTCACATCACTTCACAAGAAATGAACTGCAATTTGAAAGAAGCTTTCCTGAGATGTAGGCAAACATGTCAATCAGATTGTACACAAGATCTCACTAAAACAGAAATAGAAAAGCAAAATATGTAACATTACATAGATTAAAAACAAGAGGATAACTAGGGAGAAGGTAGGACAACTTAAGGATAAAGCAGGGAACTTGTGCTTGGAGGCAGAGGATGTGGGTTAGCTCCTAAATGAGTATTTTGTGTTGGTATTCACTCAACAGAAGGACAGGGAGGATAGTGAGATTTGTGTGGAGCATGCTAATACACTAGAGCATTTTGAGATTAAGAAAGAAGTGGTGTTGGGTGTCTTGAAGTGCATTACGGTGGGTAAGTCCCCAGGGCCCGAGGGTACCTACCCCAGTTATTGAAAGAGGCAAGAGAGGAAATTACTGGGGCCTTGACCAATACCTTTGTATCCTCGCTAGCCACTGGAGAGGTCCTGGAGGACTGGTGAGTAGCTAATGTTGTTCCTCTGTTAAAGAAGGGAAATAGGGATAATCTAGGAAACTTTAGACTGGTGAATCTCACGTTGGTGGTTTGGAAGCTTTTGGAGAGAATTCTTGGGGATAGGATTTACGCGCATTTGGAAAAGCATGGCCTAATTAGGGACAGTCAGCATGGCTTTCTGCAGGCTAGGTCAGTCTTACTTACTTGATTGAATTTGTTCAAGGAGGTGACTAAGGTGATCGATGAGGGTAGAGCAGTGGATGTTGTCTATGTGGATTTTTTTTGACAAGACAGGCTCATCCAGAAGATTAAGTTGCATGGGATCCACGGTGACTTGGCCGCATGGATTCAGAAATGGCTTGCCCATAGAAAGCAGAAGGTAGTGGTGGAATGGTGTTTTTTCAGGCTGGAGGTCCGTGACTAATGGTATTGCGCAGGGATCTGTATTGGGACCTCTGCTCTTTGTGTATACATAAATGACTTGGATGAAAATATAGATGGATGGATTAGTAAGTTTGTAAACGATACAAACATCAGTGAAGTTGTGGATAATGTAGAAAGTTGTTAAAGGATACAGCAGGATATAGATCAGTTGCAGATATGGGTGGTGAAATGGAGATGGATTTTAATCTGGCTAAGTGTGAGGTGCTGCCCTTTGGGAGATCAAATGGTAAGGAAACGTACACAGTTAATGGCAGGACCCTGAACAGCATTGCTGTACAGAGGGTTCTTGGGGTTGAAACCGATAGCTCCCTGAAGGTGGCCACGCAAGTAGATAGGGTGGTAAAGAAGGCATATGGCGTGCTTGCTTTTTCTGGTCGGGGAACTGAGTGCAAGAGTCAGGAAGTCATGTTGCAGCTTTAAAAGACTTTGGTTAGGCCACATTTAGAGTACTGTGTTCAATTCTGGGCGCCACTTTAACAGGAAGGATGTGGAGGCTTTGGAGAGGGTGCAGAAAAGGTCTACCACGATGCTGCCTGGATTAGAGGGTATAAAGAAAGGCTAGAGAAACTAATGTTGTTTTCTATAGATCGGTGAAGGCTGAGAGGAGGCTTGATAGAAGTTTATAAAATTACTAGATGCATAGATAGGGTTGACGGTAAGAATCTTTTTCTCCAGAATTGAAATGTCTGAAACTAGGGAGTGTGGATTTAAAGTGAGAAGGGAAAGTTTAAAGGAGACATGAGGGGAAAGTTTTTTTTTTTTTTTTACATAGAGAGCGGTAGGAGTCTGGAACGTGCTTGCAGGTGGTGGAGGCAGATATGGGAGTGTTTAAAGGACTTTTAGATAAGCACATGAATACACAAAGAATGGAGGGAAATGGACCAAAGGTAGGCAGAAGGGATTAGTTTAATTTGGAATCATGTTTGGTACAACACTGTGGGCCCAAAGGCCTGTTTCTGTGCTATACAGTCTTATGTCCTATGTTCTAAATACAGTTAATGCTGGAAAAGTAAATAAAAGCAGAACATGATGGAAATTTTTTATAACCTGGCAGTCACAGAGGCTGCTCCAGCATTGTCTGTTCTTACCTTACAAAAGCAAATAGGTTAATGATCAGGACACATGAACTATTACTCTTCAATTAACATAGTGGAATCTTGAATCTGAGAATTTACGCATGGGCGAAACTTAATGGTTGCAGCAACTCTGCCATTACCATTCCTTCAGGAGAAATCTCCTGTCTCCAAGGGCTGCAAAACCTCTGCCCACGAATGAATGAATACCGGTGGCAACAGGATGCAGCCAGTAAGGTCCTCAATTGGCCCATGGAATGCTCCATCCTTCATGCCCTCAACTTAATCATGATGGGAGGAGGCAGGGTCTTGAAAGCGATGAAATCTCCATCCTGCAACTGGTCGCCTGATGAAACAGAATCCACACTACATTCCCTTCTTGCTTCTGGGAAAATATTAAATTCTACCCATGGCTTTGGTTTAATTTTTCATCCAAAACAGATTATCTCTAACTATGCAGCACCCCCTCACTAGTGCAATGTTGAGGTTCTGGAGAAGGGCTTTGAACCCATGATGTCCCTATTCAATGCTGACAGCAGTACCACTCAGCTGTAGTCAATTTTGCTAAATAATTAAGTGCATCAGAGTACTTTATGCTTGAGCTGGATTCATTTCATCGACACAAATTAATTTAAAGAGCAATCATTACATGAAACAAATGTTCTTTACCATTTAGAAAGGTACAGCTATAAACAGAAGTGAGAAACAAGAGGAAATACAGAAAGGTCAGAAGAAAACAAAAGTGCAGCAACCTTTAATAAAACTTGTGTCAATAGTTCAGTTCGTATGTTCATTGCCAATGCGCACTTAATCTCATCTCTGCAAAAGACCCAACTCATCCACCTGTGCTGAGCTACCTGATCATAAAGAAAGTGGAAATGGGAGAGCAAACATTTTCAATTCAACCTTTCCGAGTTCCAGAGGTGGAAAGTAAAAACACAGTTCTCACAGCAAATGACTATTCCCTGACACCCACTGGAAAAAATGCATGTGTGTGGGCAGTGGGTGGGTCCAGGAAGTGCTCAAAGTTGGACTGCCTGCCAACACTCTGCAAGTTCTGACACAAAGAGCAGCTACCATTGGATCTGGTATTAATGATCTCCTAGTCTCCCTGCAATTGTGTATAACAAGTGTCAAACAATTCCAACTGCAAAGGAGACTGTTTTCTAAAAAAAACAGAATTTTTGAATATGTATGAAAATATAATAGCACTTTTAAAATAGCATGCCAAATGTTTTGTTTCCATTGTTTTCCTGAAGTTAGCTGGTAGTTAATTCTGCAACCTCTAACCCATTTTCACTGGAACAAATTCAGGTTTTATGATGTTAAATCAAATTAAATGATGAAATAGACTTATGTTTTGGGATTTAGGAAAGAGGTTTTGCAGCTAGCAGCTAGCCAGCAGAAAAACACAAATATTCCGCATTTTTCATCGGATACAAAGGTACTAATCTTTGCTCCAGGGAATTAAACAACAAAGCTGGGATGGTCATACTTGAACAGGAATCTCAAACAATCTGTGCTTTAACTTACCATCACTATAGTCTTTGCGGTGATTTGAGACGTGATACTGCCGTGGATATGTCCCACCTTTTCCTGCTCTTTCACAATAGTGGTTGGCAGGTTCTGAAAGAGAAAACAAAAGTAAAATGAGTCTAATTTCTAACAGAATAATTTAATATTTCACTTTAAAAAGATGTGGTGACAAAGCTAACATAGATTTTGACTTCCTCCATTACCAAAAACAGGTTTGTCCTGATTTATGCTGATCACAGTTATCAATGGGTCTTAAAATTTTATTGAAATCTATTCAGAGAGGAAACAGAGGGCAGTGAAATAAATGATCATTTGTTCAACGTTTTGAATCTCTTGCTTACATGAGTGTTTAGGAATGTAAGACTCTGTAAATTTAGCTCACATGTTGTAATCTTATCAGCAGGGTGGCTTTAATGTACACTTCAAATATTTCCATTTTCAAAACGTTAGTCTGTGCTACATCACAGCCAAGGAAGCTGAATTTGAGAAAGGTTCATGCATCCCTTGAGGACCAGAGCCTATCAGCAGATTGTTCCAGCTCTATCATGTGTACAACTCTGGTGTTTAAAGCAACATAACAGTATTTTCATTGGGTTCCTTTTTGAATTTAGTGATCACTATCTAGAACTCAAATTGTAAGCTTTTACTTCTGAAAAGATTTATCTGGTATTTTTATTACTTTAGATGTTTCTGAAACTGTAACAGAAGAAACCAAAATAATCAGTGGAAAACAGATAAATTGTTGAAAAACTCATTGTTTTAAAAAATTCTTTCAGGAGATACACTGTGGCTGGGTAGGCCAGTGTTATTGCCCATTACCGGACTCAAAACGTTAACTCTGCTTTTTCCTCCACAGATGCTACCATGCCTGCTGAGTTTCACCAGCAGTTTCTGGTTTTGTTTCAGATCTCCAGCATCCGCAGTTCTTAGTATTATTATGCTAATGAAAGGCGTTGATGAAACTACTTCAACAATCTAGCAGCTTCATAGAATCCCTACAGTGTGGAAACAGGCCCTTTGGCCCAACAAGTCCTCACTGATCCTCAGAGCATCCCACCCAGACCCATCTCCCTATAACCCACCGAATCTACATCCCTGAACACTACGGGTAATTTAGCATGGCCAATCCACCTAGCCTGCACATCACTGGACTGTGGGAGGAAACTGGAGCACCCAGAGGAAACCCACGCAGACATGGGGAGAACGTGCAAACTCCACACAAACAGTAGCCCCAGGGTGGAATCGAACTCAGGTTCCTGGTGCTATGAGGCAGCAGTGCTAACCACTGAGCCATTGTGCTGTCAAATTTTCATGGTCACTTTTTTCAATCCTGCTGATATCAGCAGATTTGTGTGACTGATTTCACCCACTTTCCACGGTAGGATCTCCAAGTCAGGATGATGATGGGTTTGACACAGTAGATGCGGAGAGGTTGCATTTGCCAGTGGGAGAACCCAGTACCAGAAGACATCTGAGGAGGGGACTTGCCCATTTAAGACAGAGACGAAGGGGCACTTTTTTTCTCCCAGAGGGTGATGAATGTTACTGCAGAGAGCTGTCAAGACTCTGCCGTTAAGGTCAAGGCTGAAATAGATACATAAACATTATGGGAATCAAAGGTAATGTGGAAATGACAGCAAAATAGAGTTGAGGACTTTCAGGTCAGCCATGATCTTATTGAATGGTGGAACAGACTTGATATACTGATTAGCCTGTTTCTGCTCATATATTTTATAGTCTTAGCCTCTAGGACTCAACATGGAGTTCAAAAAATTCTATTTTTTGCAGAACAAACCCACTTTTTCCTTCACACACTAATCATTCAGAATTATTTTACACCTCCAGAGCTCCTATATCACCATTAGCACTCTTTTTTTCCTTTTGTATCCTTACCAGCTATTCCATCCAAACCCTCTTCCTCTCTCTCAATGGCATAAAAATTTAACAGTCTTATTGAACTCAAAATGTCAACTCTGTTTTTCTCTCCTCAGGTGCTGTCAGGCTTGCTGAATTTCTCTAGCATCTTCTGGTTTTATTTCAGTCTACAGCACTTTTCATTCATTGCCCTGAGGAACTTCTGGAGCTGAGATAGCTCACCTGTAAAAATCACAACCATCTTCCTTGAGCTCAGTATGACTCCAACTACGGTAAAGCATATCTAGTCTGTGTACATAACAGTAAGATGCATCTGTTCACTTCAATGGAATTTGGAATTAATATTAAGATTAGTTCAAATCCCAAATTGAGCAGCCGGTCTGAAATTAGCCAAACCTCCTTGCACTGAATTGGAGTGCATTTTTGTCAAGTTCTAAGGGAGGGCACATCATGAGGATGTGGAAAAATATTGTCACTCTTCTGCCTCTCACATTACTTTCCACTAACAGTACTCACAAATAATCCATACTTCATTAAAATTAAATTTAAGGCTCTGTGCTTTTGTTGGTACAGGTTTAACACAAACTGAATGACATAATGGAAGGGGACAGAAATTTCAAAAATTCTGACTATTCTCTATTGCATCTTTTTCTTAATTCAACGTTATTCATCTGAAAAAAAAATACAGCAAAAAGTCATGTTTCATTTCACTCCTACTCAGTTTACATTGCCAGCTGCTCAGAGTTTCGGGATATTTTCCATGTTGAATATGCTAATTAATTATAAGTGCTTATTCTAAACTTATTCGTGCCAGATAAAAATGAGCACTTAGCCTTGTGTTAGTCTGATTTAAAAGCATGAAAAGCCATGCTGACTTAATTATAGTCACTAATTCTTGGGTGGGGTTTTCCTTAGTACATTGATACAATACACATGTTCGTGAAGCAATAATTTGATCTGAAATCAATCTGTCAAAATGTTTATCCCTCTCCCTCCATCCCCAGCTAGCCGACAATTCCTTGCTGAGAGACAGTGCCTCAGGCGTCAGCATCTTTCGAATAACCTGTCCAATTTATTCCTCATGTTTAAGTCTGGTTTGTCAATGTAAGCAGGTTATTGACCATCATAGCTGTCATCATAGCTGTGTCTGTCTTAGTTGGATGTTCTCAAGTCCAGATTGAAAGACTCTCGCCAGTTTAATAGGCACATGTATGATACTGATGCAATCATCCCAGCTAGGTCAAGATTTAAAATATTTTTAAATGAACCTCTTCAGACATGTCTAGGCAAAGTGGAATTTTAACCCAAAACTTCTGGTTCAAAGGTAGGGATACTACTACTGTGTCACAAGATCAAGATTTAATTCTTAGCTTGTACTGTTGGCTAGTTTAAATGAAAAAAGAAGTTGGGTCAGTTTTTGAAGGCTTTTTGTTTTTCAATTTAGGAAAGGTTAAAGAGAGTTCTTGCTCGTGATTATAATCACTGACCACTTTTGAGAAATTTTCAGATATGGTTACTAAGTGAGAATTTGACTGGGCTGGAGGCTAACCATGGGTGACCAACCTGCCTAACTTCCTATGACAGCCTTGTATGTGTGCAAAATACATCCTCCTATCATACGGCAAGGTAGAACAGAGGTAATGTTACTGTGTTAGTAATCCAGTGGCCTGGACTAAAGCTGTAGAGTAAATGAGTTAAAGCTCTACTATTAAATATAACTAATTAGAATAAATCTGAAATATAAAGCTCCGATCAGTCATGGTGATCAGAATAAAAAAAAAAATGTTGACTGAAAAGCCAATCTGACTCATTAGCACCTTTTATGGAAGGTGATCTGTCATCCATATTTGGCCTGACCTATGTGTGACTCCACATCAAAGAGCTGTAGTTGACTTTTAACTGTATTCAGAAATGGCATAAGAAACTCTGTAGTTAAGTCCAACTGATAAGAGAAAGTAAAATAAGAATAAAAACAGGATATTTTCTAATCAACCTGTTCAGGCATGTTATGACACATATCTGGAGCAGATGGGACTTCCTTGGTCCAGATGTAGAAATATTACCACTGTACCAGAAGGGACCCCTCCCCCGACCCTGTTCCTCAGGGTAGATATTTTTAATCAACCTGTTCAGAGATAGTATTACACACCACTGGTGCAGGTGGGACTAGCTCAGATGTAAGGACACGATCAATGCTCCATGAAAGCCCTCTATTCCTACGCCACTTCTTGAAAGCAACGTTCCACCACTAAATCACCACTGTTTCTAATTAAATGAAAATTTGCTATCACTACCCATCAGGATCAGTGCTACAACAACTTGAACAGTCAGGACATTAAAGTATTACCTCAGTCTAGAAACCTACCTGTGTCAGCGACCTGAAAGTTACTCTCCAAGTTGCACATAATCTGCTGAAAATATATCTCCATTCCTTCCCTGTTGTTGAGTAAATTTCCAAATTTTCCTCCCTAAAAGCACGTTAGAAGCATGATAGCACAAAGACTGTAGCAGTTAAAGAAGGCAGCTCAACCATGATCTCGCAGATAACTAGAAACGGGCATAGAAAAACTGCCCATTAGTGATCCTCTAACTCAGATTCATTGCACAGTACCAATGCCACAATTCCATTCCTACTGTTGGCCTGTCGAAGTTGAGACTCAACTCATCGCTTTTCAAGATGCTGCCAATTATAAGTTTCATCCTGAAACATGGGGCATCATGTCATTGTACATGGATCACCATCATCACCTCTGTGTAGGTGAATTATTCTTCACCTCCAGTACATTCTCTTCATTACCAACATATTTAAACAATCCAATTCCAATGATGGAGGCACTTCAGTCAATCCATCTGAGCCTTCCACACAAACCTACCTTCCCACCCACCAGAATATCTGACTGTTTCTCAAATAACTACTTCGCTTTTTTTATCCTTACCCTAAACTGAAACATGTTTTCTCATCAATTTTGATTTATCTTTTTGCAACCCACAGCAATGATGGGCAGTTCATATGAAATTCTTACCTTTGAAGTTGAAGCATTCATCAGGATAACTCTTCGCAACTCCAGGCTGGGTGAAAGATGGGCTATGAATTTTGAAAATAATGAAAGCACATAAAGAGTTTAGAAATCAAAATATATGACTACAAATCCTTACTGTACTGTTGTAAATTTACTTAAAATTCTGTTATTATCTAATGTTTTTGTATCTTTGGTAAGAATTTATGTGGTGATTATGTAGTGCCAACAGAAGTGAAGTTACATACAGAGATAGTAGGAACCGCCAATGCTGGAGAATCTGACATAACAAGGTGTAGAGCTGGATGAACACAGCAGGCCAAGCAGCATCAGAGG